CCCCACCCCAAGGAGGGTTGTATCAGGGCTTGAAATCGGCAATAATAGGTTCAAAAATACACTAACATAATCTAAATTCACTTGAACAATTTAATCGCTTATATTTAATAAGGCATAAACATTTGTTTCTGATCAACTTTCGATCTTCCTCGAGCGTTTTCATGGTATCTAAAAACAAAATAAAAATTGTGAAATTTAACGTTACCCAGAAGATACGTCACAACCCAACGCACTCTTTCAAAAAAAAAAAAAAAAAAAAAAAAAAAATAGTTGCCACAACAATATAAAATTATCTACGTACGTTAACCACTGCTAATTAACAACAAATATTTAAATTATAACGACGAAAAGATCCATTATTCTATATGTAATTATTGAATAATTTATTCCCAGAAATAGAATAAAAATAGTTACTTTTGTCTGTTAAAAAGACCTCTTCTAGCGTTAATCTCGCGTGTTGCGTTATTAATACTGTTAAATACGTTCAGAAAGGCTCAACATTCCTTTTCTTCCTTATAAACCTTTCGGCTATCCTTAGTAACGCTAATATGATGATCGTCACAACCGTATCCAGTCTCCCATAACGTCTTTTTTCTTAATTAGCTTTAACCAATTTTATGTTTTTTTCTTCAACCTATTAGCTTTAAAAATCATATAGTGGTAGTTCCTTTGCAAACTATACCGGCTCTTTAGGACCATGTAGAAATCTTTAAAACACAATTTATCCTGTCTAGATTTGTTGACTTTGAAACTATCTGAATTTTGAATTATCCCATTTCTTTCATTGACTTTTATTAAAGTTGATTACTCCTGAGAGTCGGATTACTCATGATTATTAAAACTTTGATTTACAGAAATGTTTATAAATATTTGTAATATTTCTGTGATTAGCTTTAATATTTCAGTATATTTATATTCGAAATTAAATCCATCTCGTTTCTATAACAAATAATTATGTTTCAAACTAATAAATGAGGTACTCATTTAGAAGATACTCATGGTTCAAGTTTTTGATTAATTTCTTTAACGAATTAATGGTACGTTGCACCATTGCGGTAGGATGAGAAATCACCTTACTAAAAGTTCAACACTAAAAAATATTTATCACCTCCGGATTTCGGGTAACAGTTTCTTCCTTAGTAGAAAAAGTAGAACCATTAAAGTAAAGTATTAGGTTAAGTATTTATGGTTGTACGTATAAGGACCCCGCTCAGCCATAACAAAGGATTTATCCGACGAATGGGAATGGGCTTGTAAGATGGGACTTCCACTGTGACCCATTTCCTTAGGAGCGCCCTCTTCCAGTGTGTCGCTCGTAAACGTTCATTTCGGATGGCCCCATCATCGAGGTTGTTTGTTAGAACCTCCCTTGTATTTGCATAGTCTCTTCCACAATGGCTGTCTACGAGATTTAAGTTCTGTGAAGCAACTACCTTTTGTGAAAAATGGTGTGTACTTGTGTTTAACAAGCAATGAAATGAAATGAAAAATAATTTTATTCTGGGACTGAAGTCCCCTTAGAATAATAGCAGAGTTCGAAAATATCTACATCATTCTGGCATGTAGATATAATGACACTCATTAAACAAAAAAATAGGTACCTATAAATTTATGTAAATATTTTTTTTTTATTTCCATTAGAGACCTTATAGATCTTTTGCCGTCATGATCAACCTACTCCACCTCTTCCTACTAGTCCGTGGTACAGACTCCTTTTTATCAAATTATTAACATCCGCCTTAAAATTCGCAAATAGCTTCATCTCATCGTAACCTACAACTATTTTATTTACTGAATCGGAGCTTTTTCAATCTGGAGGTCGGCAAACTTTGTCTATTTAATTATATACTAAAAACTCGTAAGCACCCATTTGTTTTCCACTTCAGTCGTAAGATTTAAGCACAAAATCTAAATTTAACTATTTCAAGGATTTTCTGTTGTGGCTTATACAATTTTTTTTTTTAAAAGGAAGGAGATGGTTCGGGGGGGGTGGTCATAAATAGGCTAAATAGTGGTAAAACTATTTTATTAAAAGCCAACGTTTCGACCCGAGTTTGCAGGTCTTCTTCAGAGAGGTGTGTTCAGCTAGGAGCTTCACTTAGAACATTAAAAGTTCTAACGTTGACGTTGGCTTTTAATAAAATAGTTTTACGACTATTTAGCGTATTTATGACCGCCACCCCGGACCATCTCCTTCCTTTGTAATGCAACGTTCAACTATTAAATATTAAATATTTTTTTAAGTTCTTGTTTTTTGAGTTGAGCCTATTCTTGATTCGTTCCCTTACCACTAAATTGATAGTAAACAATAAACACTGTATTCAGAATAGTTATTGAAATGAAAAAGGAATAATAGGAAAATGATGAGTCAGAAAATAGATAGAATGTGTTATACAGTTATTTGTTGAACGATTCTCATTATTAAAACAGTTTAATTTCTTTAATTTAATAAATGAAATTTACGACTGTTTATAAAAACAACCAGTAAATATGCACAAATTAGAAATAATGACATGAACAGACTTGAGGAAATACAACCCAGTGGTAGCAATTGTTTGTAAGTAAGATCACGAGGCCATCTTCTTTTCAGAAGTCTAGAGTGATTATCAGGAATCGATGAAGAAGCAAGGTTGGAAACAAGTGGATTCGGATGGGACTGTAGTTTATCATGAATGAATAGGTATCTGGATCGGGATTATTAAAATTTTAAAATATATATATTTCAAACCCAGCTCTATAACACATCAACGGATCTTTACAAAATATGAAAAAAAAAATTCAATTGGTAGTTAAATTTAAAATTTCAGCTTCATACATATTTTCATTTTCAAAATACAGTAATCAATAAGTCAGTGAATGAAATGCACCTTTCTTTCGTAAATAGAGATTATCTAATTTATTTTAAAGGTTAATAAAATTATTGTATTATTGACTTTATTCTAGTCGTTATAACCAGAAATCTAATAAAATTTTTTTGAATAGTAATATTTTGGATAAAAGTGAATTCATTGCAAGTATGGATTCACTGTAAGCGTGCAGTTCATAGAACTTTATCCATGTAATGTCACTTATTTACTTGATTTTATCAGGTCATAAGATATTTCCTAGTACAGCGATAACGGTTTTGCAGAGATAGTTGAAGTTTGGACATTATAGCGCCATCTTAGTTGGATAATGCAAAACTATTTTCATCTAACTTGACTATCAAGATGATAATGAAGCCTACATTATGAAGTGTCGGTGCTATGCTGCTTATGAGAGTCCCGTTGAATGTCCAATGAGTCCATAAAAATGTAAGGAATGGAGGAAGTGGAATATTGATGGACTGATGAAACCTAATTATATTAAGATGTTGAAGATAATTCTCAATATGTATGTTAATCAACTATATATTTTGATACAAGTATTCCCTTATCAGATACTGTAATAATATTATTTTGATAAAATTAGTACCCAAGACCCTTCAAGGTTTTAATTTTTCTTTTCTTGTGATGTAAAAAAATAAATAATTAAATAAAGGGCACAATAGATAAATATATTTATTAATTCTAATTTCAAACCACAGTAACTGATCAATTCTGTATTAACTTTATCTTTAACTTATATCGTTAATTGTTTCCGTGACATATTTTTAAATATAAAACAACTTTAAGAGTTATTTTATTATTCAATTAGTTCCAATAGATCACTTGTATGAATTTTCAATTTTTTTGCTTGCCCTTCACCCCTATCATGTCAATATAAGACAAACGATCCAATATTCTAGTAGGTCACCTTTTTTCTTTCGATTTTGTGATCAAATTATTATAAGGGATAAATAAAGAAAAACTATGATAGAAAAGTTTAACCTTCTTAAACCTTTTTATTTTATTCCCCAGTTTTAATCTGTTTACGTGCTCTGGTTTGTCTAATTTCCTACGTTTTATAGGCCCCCTAACCATTGCTTATTTTTCTTGGGTATTGGTGGAGTTATGTTGAAGGTTTGTTCAAGAGGTTTATTGCTTTAGAAAAATTTCAAATATCTTTTCAAAAATTTAGTGCCAAAATATGTATGCATATTTTCTCCATTGCTAAGAAAATTCGTATTTAAGGGTTTTATACGATTATAATAACACATATTTGCTTGTTTACAAAATCGAGAAAAAAAGATGGTCTACAAAAATATTAGACCTTTTGGCGTGACCTCTACCTTCACTATATCAAAATAACGAGATACATTTAAACGGCCCAATATTTTTCTAGCCCAAATTTCTTCTCGATTTTGTGATATAATTATCTTACGATTCAAGTAGAAAGCAAATAATAATTTAAATGAAAACTTTTTTTAGATTACTTGGTTATTGATAAATATTGCAATCTGTCTCAATTAAGGACACTTATAATAGAGTTCAGAGAGCACATTCACACCATATTTAAAGAATAAAAAATAAATGAGATAATTATAAAATAAAATACAGTAAAATAAGAAAAAAATAAAATATCCTAATGAGGAAAGCAAATAATAACAATAGCAATAATAAAAAATAAATAAAATTCTTAAAGAAATAAAAGTAAACATCTTAGACACAGGCATTAAATGAAAACTAATGAGTTTTTAGTACTTCATTAAAGTGGTATTTTTACCGATCTCCAAATTGGAAATGTTCCATTTCTGAAATTCGCGTTAATAATTTTTAGGTTTTGATAAAATGAAGAAATTCTCTCAAATTTTTAGAATTGTGTTCATAAAGTAATTAAAATGGTTTTGTACCGCGGAAGAAGCAGCAGTCAGTATAAAAGTATCGTTTTAATTTTATTACTAGATCTATGCCCTTTTGGGGAGTATGATTGATCCTGAAGTTTCAAATTTATTTTAATTTATCAAAAATTACTTTATATCTTAAGCTTCAGTTTTCTAATAATTCTAAAGAGGATTTGAATATAATATACTATGTACCTGGATTTCCTTCCAAGAATCGAATTGAGATATTCAGAGAGACCTCTAAGAAAAAAAAAAAGATCTACATCCTTTCCATACGGCTTCTTCGTGATCGTGTAAGAGGATCGTGGTTGTTGTCCCGTGAAGACACAATAGGCGGCGCCTGGGAGATGGTGACCAGGATAGCCTCCGAAGGCCTTTCTGCTAAATCCGATCCCGACCAAGTAAAAAGATGTTGCTCTCCAAATCGGGAAGGGACCGGTTCGTCTTTTGCTCCGGCCACTAGGAGGAGGCTTCCAGTAGTAGACCGTCTGTTCCTAACAACTCTTGTTTGCTGAACGTGCGTGCTTTTTACGTGTGGTATCACGGAGGAGTTCGTACGGGCTTCCGAGGCATGCAGATCGAAGCGTACTTCGGGTCGGAGGAGCAAGGTGCGAGAAGTTCATAGGTCAAAAGTGCAATCACCTGTAACGCAGCACAGCTGGCCTCGCTCGTAACCAAGGTATCGTACCATCTCCTGTACAGAAATTATTAGTTTTGATATTATAAAATATTACCATTACTGAATGTATTTTTAATGTTGAGTTAAAATATAAGTGGTAAAATTAGGTATAAATAGACAATTGATTTTGCTTCCTTACTACCATAAACAGGGAAGGTTTTTGTACTTGCGCCTCGCGTTAGAAAACATTTTTCTGCACATAATAGAAAATTTCCACTAGCGCTTTACGATTTGGACATCGAAAATCCGCCTGTCTGTAATCAAATTCCTGTGATTTATCAACTGCTTACCATTAATCCAACTTTCATTAACTTACCTTGTCGATTTCATCAAGTTTAATCCATTACTTCAGGTTACGCGTATTAGCGTAATATGCGTAAGCGTATTATAATATGTCTTTGTACAAAAAAAGGCTCGTTCGATAACGCTAATGAATCGAAAGACTGTTGGAGAATAATATACAATTAGTTTGGTATATATTTCCATTTATCAGTTAAAATAAAAAATAAAATTTTTTTACGGATTACATAGCTGTCAAATCAGATAAGCAGTGAAATCAGACTATCGACAATTGGAGGTTATGTTATTTTCAAAGCTTAATGCCATTTATTAGACATGTTTTTGTTGGATTAGTTTATACATTTTTAAATAAAGTAATCATCTCAAATGGGGAGGATACGGATATGGGATCACCGATTTCAATGAAACTTTTTTTGGTGATATTATGTCGGAAAATACTGCCGAAAATAGCAGCTAAAAAAAAATGTAATAAATTAGAATTTTTAATATTATTTTTCTATATTATAATATATAAACTGATTTGTTTATTTTGTGTAAAATAAGAAAAATATATTGGTGATTATATACATTAAATACTGGATCCAAAAGAGACTTCGCTAAGTCGGCAAAATAATTTTTTTTCCATGAAAAATTATTCATATTTGGTTCTAGTGTCCTTTAAAACTCTTAAATACGAATTTATTGAAATAGAACTACTACTAATTTTAAAAATTTGAAATTTTTTATCATGCCGTTTACTAAAGCATTCATGACTTCATGACTCAGAATAGAAAGATGAAAATGTTCCGCTACATGTTTCAACTTCTTGGTTCTATTGAGCGTTCATTGATTTCATATTACTGATGTTTATTAAATAATAGATTCATTTTTAATTTTTAAAAAATTTATTTAGCCTTTATCCCTAAGGTTCATTGGCGTATTATCTTAATATTATGTTATTTGATAAAACTATTTCTTTTAATTATGTTCACAGTTTCTCTATTACTTTTTCCTCATCTTGCAGAATTTCTTCCATTTCCGTTCCCAGTTGTAGCAGTTTCCCTTAGAGCAGTAACTTCTACATTCTAAGTAGTGTTGCCAAAATGCGAGACCGAGCCGTCTTGGTCTTGCGCAAGAGTCTTGCAGTTACTTATTACTAAGGAGATATTACTGTCTTTTTTTTAGATACGAAAAACCTAACTAAGCCCGAATGAAAAATTAGAGGAGTTAAATGAAAAAGTATATTGGTTATACCAATTATTAACATATAGTTACTAAAATTGTCAAGTATTGGTAACTATTTTGGCTTAATTTTTATTTAAAATATTGTTATTTTTTACCAGTCCTGGTCTTGGTCTTGGAACAGTTAGGCTGCCTTGGTCTTGGTCTTGCAAGACCGGTTTTGGGCAACACTACCTCTAAGAGTATATGCTTCACTGTTCTAGTTACTTGTTAATGTGTGGGGTTTCTAGTCCTCGTAGATGTCCATGGGAAAACTCACTATGTCCGATTCGTAGGCGACAGAGTGTCACTTCGTCTCGTTTAGACTTTCGGTTTGAAGTGTTCCATTTATTTAATTTTTCTTAATTTTATCAAGTTTTGCCGATTCATTTAAGTGATTATAGGAGTTTAATAAACCCATATTATTATATCGTACCGCATTGAGTTTTGAAAACAATTGTGGGGCCTAATGGAAAATACCAGAGATGGAAGGATTTATCCGTAGACAATGGTAGCCATCCGAAGGCTGGTAGTGAAACGAGTCGTTTCATCAGTTGGACCGCCCCGGGGCAACTATTTCTTTTGTCCCGGCTCTCTTGTAGTCATTATTGACTTTCTGCTATTTACATGCCTTTCAAGATCATCCTGACGTTTTATCTCTCGTCCTTTGACTCCTCAAATATTTTAGGGGTTTGCCATTTTGTGGTAAGTTGATACTATATTTTGTATCTGAAATAAACTGGTGAACAACAATTTTATGAAAAAAACATCAAAATTCATTAATTTCGTAGTATTTAAGATACTCGAGGCTTTATTGTAGAATATTCTAGTTCTATAAAAAAATATATATATATTAAAATCTTTAATAAAGGAAGGAGATGGTCCGGGGTGAAGGTCATAAATAGTGGCAAAACTATTTTATTAAAAGCCAACGTTTCGACCCGACTAGGTTAGATTCGGTAATTTTCTAGGTTTTTCCCCATTACCCAAACAAGTCACCAAATTCCCCAATACCTACCCTCTCCCTGTTTTTCCAATTCTAAGTGAAACTCCTTGCTGAACACACCTATAAGTCTCTATTTTTATTCTTCTAATTTTATTTACTTATTTATTTCTCCACATGCATCTATGTCTATTATTTCATATTATATCCTTTTTCCTTTTCTTTCAATCTCTCCTCTAGATCTGTAGAAGTATATTCATATTTGCATATATTATATATTACACTACAATTGTTACCATCTATTGACTTCAGTTTAGGATCTTGTTACGTAGCGTACTCTGTTTATATTTTAATGTACTTACTGTAAGCTTATTAACATTGTTTATAATTTTGTGTTTATTTATTATGTAACTTCCACAATTCTCTATCTTTTTGTATCTTGTCCGTTCTAGACCTGAAAAACCGGGTCGAAACGTTGTCTTTTAATAAAATAGTTTCGCCACTATTTAGCCTATTTATGACCGCCACTATGACCGGAACATCTCCTTCCTTTATTATGCAACGGTCAATATTCAATAAAATCTTTAATGATTTAGGATTTTAAAAGTTCCTCTTTTCATCGAGTATGGCACACGGGACTGCTTTATAAACTCCTTGAATTCTTACACCCTACATACTTTCTAATTATCCGTTCCTACTTTACATATAGATACTTCACAGTAAATCACAATAATGCCTATTCATCCATCTTTTTCCATTCTGCCCGTGTTCTTCAAGATAATATAATAATAATAATACTTTATTTATTTTGGGAAAAGTCCCTTTAGAATAATAAAAAAATACAGAAATGTGGGCTTAGGAGCCTCAGAGATACACAAATAATAATGCAAAAATAAATAAACAGTCATAATAAAAAATTATCAGTTACTTTCTGAATTTAATCAGTTAATAAAAAAAAAAAAAAAAATTATAAAACATAAGTAAAAATAATTAGGAATGATCTAATAATTTGTATACACATTTACAGTAATATCTATTTACAATTGTATGGGGAACGTATGGATACAAAATCATTAAACAGGCGGGATTTAAAGGTAGGGAGGGTATTATAGCGGGTACTACGGGGATGAATCGTGGATTTGAATTGAAGGAGTTCGGAGATGTATGAAGGACGGCGGGATTTCAGATGACTTGAAAGAGGAAGGATAAAGCCACTTCAACTCTACATAAAAATGGGAACCATAGGTTCTGTCCTTTACACAGTTTATATTGCTGATACCCCAATCCGTCCTAACACTGTCATAACCATTTACCAGTATGTTAACGACGCATTTGTCCAGTCAGTTAATAACTATATCAATTGCATTCCAAACTCTTCAATCATCACAAACGTTGAAGAATGTTTTCAAAACTGAAGGATTAAAATTATTTCAAGTATATCTCATTAAATCACCTAGATGTGGTATTTCCATTTTGACTGTGTATTACAGGTTCTAAGCTATGCGAATAGATGGATCTTAACACTATATGAATATTAGTGTTGCTCAAAATCGGTCTTGGTCTTGCAAAGTGCAAGCCTAACTGTTGCAAGACCAAGACCAGGACTGGTAAAAAAAATCGATTTTTTGAATAAAAATTAAGGCAAAATAGTTACTAATACTTGACAATCTTAGTTACTATATGTAAATAATTGGTATCACTAATATAATTTTGCATTTAACTCTTCTAATTTTTCATTCGGGATTAGTTAGGTTTTTTAGTTATAATCTCATAAGTAACTGCAAGACCATTGTGAGACTCTTGCGCAAGACCAAGACCATGACCAAGACTGAGTTTGCAAGACCAAGACTCGTCTCGGTCTCGCATTTGGGCAACACTAATGAATATACAAGGTAGCAAATTCTACTCTTTTAACGGAGAATAGGACGGCGTATGACAGGCTTCAGTGACAGGCATTATAGCCAAAATTTTTGGAAAAACGTTATTGTTTTTAATATGCATATATCTTAGGATTTTCTTATTTTCGTTTACTCATTTTCCACTGAATGATATTATATTTAAATATTATATATATAATGTTATCTCCTATGCAAATCTTAATTTCTGAGCTGAAATTTTTTTTATAAAACATCGAGGTATATTTATCCATACCGCTATTGAGCCATAAAGGAATGACCTGCTTTGATAAAGCATTGTTATGCAGTAAATGAATTTTCGAGCGCTATGAGATTAAACAAAGCCCTTTGACTAAAGTAGGTCACATGCTTTTTATATTATTACATAATAGTAATATTTATATCCTAACCGGGATAATGTATTAAAATAAAATATTTTCTTTATAACAACTCTAATATTCACAAATGTTCTATACAGCTGTGTTCTTTTTTTTTTTATTGATTTAATTTAAATTAAATTTAAATGGGGAGTTTGCTGTGTTCGCTTAAAAACTTAATTCTTGCTCTCTTTTTCGCCGTACCGGCTTTTATATGAATTTGTTTATCGTTGAGTATTTAGTTTACCTTAAAATGCCCTTGGGCAATAAAAGGAAAGTTGAAAATTTATGTATATATACATTTATATACATACTGTATTTATTCAAGAAATTCCTGGGGGATAGGAAAAAAAAAAAAAATGAGTATTTAGTTATTTGATGGCGATTAAGATGGTTAAGTTTTTTATAGAATTTTTTGCTGTCGTCGCTTGATTATTCTTAAAATTTATTCATTCGATTAATATAGGTAACTTATAATCATCCTGCTATAAAGTATTTTACTTTATGAGTATTCAATTCAATACACCTCCCCCCCCCAACAATCGCATTGGGATCGCGCATATCCAGAACCAATGTCAGCGGAATATATTGTTGAGGTGTCAGCTGCTAGCAGAACCATCCGGACGGCGAGGTTGCCATGGACGCGGGGATCAAAGCCGCATTACCGACCGGACACCCTCAGAGCTACATTATAGAGGAGGCCGTGGAATTCCCCTGCCACCGCTTCCTTAATATTTACTTCGCCCTGATTTCTTTCCTCACCTCTCTTAAGTCTCCCCTTTGGCCCGTTAACAATACAGAGGCTATTAGGTTCAGGGGGATGAGGTTGTCAGCTCCCGTTGGAATTATTGATCAGGCACCATCCGTAGTGCTTCCCATTTATTATGTTAACCTTGAGATATCAGCAACTTTAAATAATAGTGGGCGGGGTGACCGAATGGGCTAACGCGTGTGCATAGCACCACCGTTGCCCGGCAACCTGATATAAGATTAATGATATAAAAGTAGTAACGAGTTCGCATCCCGGTGCTAAGGCGTCTTTTAAATCCCCGCCCACACCCTCTGGCCCAGGAAAACCCCGTATAGCCTTAAAAGCGAGGAATGAGAGGACCCCCCCAAAAAAATAATAAATAAAATTAAATAAATATCATTTTGACTATAAGATGTGATGTATTGAACTTGGAAACTGTTATAGGCACGAGGAAGAATAGCACCTCTTCCTAGCGTTTGCTTCCTAAATTCAGTAGAGGAGATCTCTCATCCAGCTTCTTTTCGGTCCTCTTGTATTGGGCATTTCAAATCAAACTTATACTGGATTCCTTGAGCATTAGAGCTCTGGTAAATTGTCCCTACTTTATCCTTCCTGACACCTATAGACGACAAGTTCTTTTGCAGAAACTATTATTTCTAACTTTACAGTTACAGTTGCTGTTAGAATTAAATAGGGATTTGAAATTTATCGGCGGCAGGTGGAAATGCAAATCTTGCTTAGAGATAACACGCAGACCTGAGAAAACAGGCCTTGGTCAATTAAGAAGGCAGTGAGGGGCGCCTATTAAACTTTTCCCGGCTGTTTATAAGTCACGCAACGGCCATGATTCGTAATAGTAGGTATATTTTAAACAACCATATTTTTTTTTCTCAATAGATATTTTGGTAGGTGATATTCCCTTTCCCAGATTTCTGAATTATCAGTATATATATATATATATATATATATATATATATATATATATATATATATATATATATATATATATATATATATATATATAAGTAGTAGCTTGATGTCCTTGTGGCTGTACTGTTGGGTCTGTCAGCTTGCTGCCCGGCTTGGAGTATCGATGCTGAATTAAATAACTGAAGAGGATCCTATTATTTATGTTATAAAAAAAACAGGGATCGAAACGTTTTTGAATAAATGATGGAATAGAAGTAGTGATTTCTTTTTGTACAATTTTTTCTAGAAGGACTTCGTCCCAGAATAAAGTTATTTTCTATCTATCTATAATTAGCCGTAACATAGGTTACGTTCTGGATTTTTTCTTTCACTTACGATATGTAATATATAGAATTGTGATCGAGAACATTTTTGAATCTGAGTTTTCAACGGAAATAAACGTTTTGAGGTACACTGAGCCCAAATAATCAAGTCCCGAAAAATGGTCTGTGTGTTTGTATGTTAGCAGTCTAGTCAAAAACGAAAAGTCCTACGAAACTTATATTACGTATTTAAGATAGATTTATGCCTTAGATGTGACAGCAACTTTTTCCTTAATATCGGCTTACCGGATTGCCACTTTATATCAACGCTGAAACACATGTCCACAATTTTCTCAAAAACGGTTCTAACGATTTTGATGAAACTCGGTGTATCATTAAGTGGTCTATAATATTAATTAGGTCTTATCCCCACTGATGTCACTTTGCAGGGCTTAAATGCCCAATGTTCATATACGTCTTCCTCTAAAGTACCTTTAATATGGTTTATTTTTAAAAATTAGTCATTTCACATTATTCAAAGTTACGAAAAAATGCTAAATATAACTTTTGAAAGAATTTGATAAGTTAATAAAGGAGAAAAAAAATAAAAATGCAGAAAAACCTTCGTTGCTATAGACTGTAGCGCCTAAACGACGTACCGATTTCAATGAAACGTTGCTAAAGTCATTTTCTCGACACCCTTTAAATTTATTTATATAACGTACTTCAAAGAAAAGAAGCTGGGAAAAAAGTTACGAGGGATGGTAAAATTAAATTCCGAATAACTCAAATAGTATACACTTTTTTTTGTGGATATTGTGATAAGTTGTTTCAAAGGTATTTAAATTTCCTAAAAAATGAAAGAAGTTTCATCGAAATCAAAGCTCTATTAGTAGAGATATCGCGATTATAAATTTTTTTGGTTAGTTATTACTTTTATTTATGGTATGTAATATATAGTAAGGTTAAGTATCGCGATCGAGAATATTTTTTATTATTTTTTATGTTGGATACGTTTTAATGTTTTGTCTGTTAGTAAGGTAATACAACATGATATGGTTATATCTGAAAAGGGAAGCATGTTATATAAGTAGAATGGCTATGTAAGTGTAGGTACCTCATAAATTAAAGAGCTAATTAAACTTGTGCTGGCGCGAGAGTGTAATAAAGGATTCAAAAGAATGGAATGCATTTAAAGGATGCAATAAAGAGCGCATAAAGGAACTAGTGAAAATAGTTAAAGAGTGACAAATGGAGGAGGCGGTGAAAGGCAACTGGGTTAAGGGCACTCAGAACCATCCTTTTCTTACTCTCTCGCCATTTGCGCCTTTCTTCCATTTGAGGGTCAGCCGCGTTTATCTCTGCTCCAGGGAGCACGTACATTGCTCGTCCAGCTCTTTCATAACCATCTATTTTTTTGCAAGGTACTACTTTCCTGTTTTCGTATATGATTTCTAGTGTTCAATATTTTTTCAGTCGTTCGTATCTGTAACCGAATTCGTTTCTCCCAATTTCACCTGTTTTTTAAAATGTCACCTTAAATCGAAAAAATCTTGGAGTATTTTAGGCAAGATTCGTAAAGCTCAACGCGTAGAAGGTGTTCCAATCACTCAGATTTTTAAAAAAATATATATTATGACCAAAAAGGGATAAATAAAAAGACAATAAAATAAGTTTTAGTGCATATAATTATTCTGTAAAGGGATAAATCTATAAAATATAAGATACTTACCCATTATTTGGCCATCGTTAAATATTTATTCTACCATGCTAGCTCAGGTAGGAAGAGATTAGGTTGGATATTTTTATAAAACAACAAAAAAGGTTAACAGATCTATTCACAGAATTAATACTATGTACAAGCAAAAGAAATAAAATAAAAGGAAAAACAGAGAAAATATACATAATTACTATATACAATTAAAGATAAATAGGAAGATAATAAAGATATATATATATTTTTATATAAATAGATATAATATATTTATATATTAAATATAATATTATATTAAATATAATATATATAAATTTTTTTTCTTACTTTCTTTATTGAATATTAATACATTCTGCCACATTAAAGGGCATTAATATTAAGGCTACATGATTCATTCACACAATATGTACATACAAATAATAACTAAGATATCAATAATAAAGAAAAATAAATAAAAAATAATAAAATAAGTAAATTGATATGCCTGTGTACAAAACAAAATGAAAGAATAGATAAAAGCTAAATGAAAGAGTAAGTAAATAAAACACATTCACACCTAATAAAGATAATAAAAATACAAAAAAGATACTTATTTTATATACAATAGTATGGCATGCCACATATAAACATCAAGAAACGAAAGTCATATACAACAGGAGTATTCCTGATTATTGGATAGGGTCTGGTAGGTTTTATTTCAAATTTAAGACGTAACTTCCTCTGTCCTATTACCTTATTCTTCAGGAATTTGATAATTAAAAACTGGTCAAAATATTATTTTTGTCTTTTTATTCTAAATATTTTTTTTTATTGGGTATTATACGGTCTGCCACCCTGAAGGGCATTGGTACTAGGGCTATAGTATTAATTCATACAATATGTACATAAGAAAGGAAAATAAATATAAATAACCAAAGTAAGAAAAAAATATTTATATATAATAAAAATATAAAGTAATATACAAGATAAGTAAAGTAACATATTAAAGCCGAATGATAATAAGATAAATAAAACACATTAACACCTATGTACAATATTTACATTAGCCCAGGGGACTCTTAATCAAGCTTTGTCCCCCAACTGTGGAAGCCAAAGCAGAACTCCAGGAGATCCCAGTGCTTCTCTTCCAGCCGCGTCACTGGTATTGAAAGCAGTGGAGACTGATGGAGGGCACTAGAGCAACAGACGCTCAGGACTTGTGTGAAGAATCTAGCCAGTACTCCGATATATACATATTTAGAAAAGGTCGTGGGGCCACTGACGTTTTAAAGTCCGAAGAGGATTATAGGAATGACTGGAGCTACAGAATTAGGATGATGAGTGAGATTCTGGTGAAATTTGGAAACATTTTCTGAGATCAGTCCAAATATAAAATCCTTTTTAGCTATCTTTTGATCAATACTGTTGTATAGTCGCCCCAATAATTCTACCCATAAGAATATATGGACGTTTTATTTTTTAATGAACTCGTATAACATCTAACGGCGGGTGCAAATTTTGGACCTTGGGCATACACCCTTCAAGTCTGTGATTAATTAATTGAGAAACGTAATAATATCACTTAGTCAATGGAACCTCATTGCTGATTTAGCCTTGAACTCGGAGTACTTCTTGTCACGCAACTAATCAGTGTATGGTCTAGAAGAGGTGAAAAGAAATCCAAGACAATACGGATAGAAATATCGCTGTTTTAATTCACTGTTTCTGACGGCGCAGGTAACAATATTATTAAATAATTGTGAATGAATCATCACTCGTTAGGGATGGAAATATTGAGGTATGAAAAATTGTCCTAGATGCACCTATAACATCAATTATTTACCTAGTCAATGACAATCGAGTTCAATATGTGAACTAGATAATCCATTTATTACAATTTTCCCCGAGACAAGGTATTCTCCCAAACTCTGTGGTCACAATGATACTTTCCCTTCCAAAAATCACATGTGCATAACCAATCTTAGATCTATTTGACTTTAAATGCATGGACAAATTTATTTATTTATTTATCATTTATTGTAAATGATATTTACAACTGTATACAAAAAATACATCTGGTAAATTCGCACATTGGTATAAAGACATGGAACACATGTTGAAAAACTACCCATTGGTAGCACTCTAATAATATATCTATATTAGAAGATCACGTGGCCATCTTCTTTTCAGACGCCTCGGTGGGTTATCAGGAATCGAATAGGAAGCAAGGTTAGAGACAAGAGGGTTGGGATGGTTATGATGTTTATTATGGAAGGACAGATATCTGGATTGGGCCAAATCTGATACATAAGGAACACTAAGGTCATTATGGATAATTTTATTTGTAACAAAGTAAGGAGCATTGAGGATTTTACGAAGGATTTTGGATTGCTAGGACTGTATGCGAGAGGAATTTGAAGGTTTGGTGGAGCCCCATAGCTCAACCCCGTAGCATGGACAAATTTAATTTTAAAACATTCAACATATCCAACTATTCATTTTTGTCTTTAATCCTTCAAAAAATTATCAATGATCCATATTATGTGACAAACAATAACGTGCATCAGTGGCGAATAATCTAAGGGAGGAGGAGGGAAGATTTGATAGCGCCCTTTCTGATGACCACTCACTAGACAGAACATAAATAAAAAGAACCATTATATAAAGTTCAATTTTTAGTTTATATTTAAGATAACCCGTAAGGTCTATTTTGTAGGAAATTCATTAGATGAAGGTTTCTAGAAAAGTCGATTTAATCAGCATCGAATACTCGCTTTGACTTATGTTAGTGGTTTATTATATATTATAATTGGGATTTATTTCATGAACTACCTGTTTTCGTAATTAGGTCCTTTCAATATGTTGGATTTATAAAATTTATAAATGTATTTATAAATTTATAAATGGAAAATTCGACTTAATCATGACAAATCCAAACGTATAACATTTACTCTTCGAAAAAACACCTTTCCTCCAGTTTATATTGACAACAATCAAATTCCTCAAACGGACACGGTACTTTACCTTGGACTCACCTTCGACAGAAGGATGAAATGGGGCCCACATGTTAAAATGAAACGTATGACACTTAACAAACGACTCAAACTACTTTACTCTCTTTTTGCCAAATCTTCAAAACTAAAACTAAAACAGAAACTGAATACATATACATACTTACTGAAGCCCATATGGACATACTCATCACAAATATACGGCATCGCTAAAAAGCCCACCTACAAAAACTTCAAACGTTCCAATCAAAATTATTGCGACTCATAACAAAAGCACCTTGGTACGTAACTAACAAAACTCTACATACTGACCTCCACTTTACAACAGTTGACCAACATATTTTTTTTCTTATTTATTAACATATATTTTTTATCCTTTAATTAAAATTTTTTTAATTGATGTTTATTTTTTATGCTATTTTATTTTTAAATTTTGCTCCATCTTTCTCCCCTTCCCTGGCTACACTTATGGATTTCAATGAACTCAAAAACTCAACTTTTAGTGGCTTTGTATCATAATTGTTAATAATATTTTTATTAACTCAAAATTAAAATAAACATTTTTTTTTTATTTTTAGATTGCATCTTTGGTTAAAGAATAAGTCGACATTACTCAACTAAGGAAGGTGAGATAAAATTCATGTTAAATGTTATTTGAATTTACTACTAGCATTCTATACATGGTATTTCTTATAGTTAATTAATTTTACCTGTGTTTAAATTATGTGTTTTTTTTTTAAAGATCTCTACAAATTTCTGAATTCATTTTAATTAGTCCTATTATAAAGCTTATTTTATTTTAATTATTTGATAATTTTGTTTGATTTTGAAAAGGAATCTTGGAATATGCAGCATATATATTTATTGCTATGTACAAATATATAATTCTTAATTTAAAATAATATTAATGTTATTTTAGCTATGAATTGTATTTTTCAAAAATAAACTGAAAAAAAAGTTAAAAATGTATTTAACATTTTGGTTTATTATTTTCAATAATCAACCATTGTGGTCGACCGAAAATTTAAAAAACTTAACCCCCTATCAAAATTGGAGGTTTCACGTTTCAGGATTTCGTTGAATACGAAAAACGAATAAAATTTTTTTGTCCGTCCGCCGTAGGCGCATTTTCTCCGAAACTACTGGACCAATTTTTTTCAAATTTGGATATAAAATCAGAGGTCACCCGAGGATGATCCTCCTTCATTGACATAAGTGTCTGCCTTATACATTCAAAATGGTGGCCGAAAAACCTGCGTTGCTATAGACTATAGCTCCTAAACGAATGTACCGATTTCAATGAAACTTCGCTAAAGTCATTTTCTTGACGCCCTTTAAATTTATCTATATAAAATACTTCAAGGAAAAGAAGCCGGGAAAAAAGTTAAGAGGGATGGTAAAATTTAATTCTCAATAACTCAAAAAGTATACTCTTTTTTGTCGATATTGTGATAAGATGTTTCAAAGGTATTTAAATTTCATGCAAAATGAAGGAAATTTCATTGAAATCAAAGCACTATTAGTAGTGCTAGATGTCGCGATTTTTAAATATTTTTGTTTTATTATTTTCAATAATCAACTATTGTGATCGACCAAAAAATTTAAAAACTCCCTCTCAAAATTTGAGATTTCACGTTTCAGGAAGCGTAGAATTCGAAAAACGAATAATTTTTTTTTTT